GGAAATATATAGCCCAAGGGAAAGAGAGGGACAGGAAGGACAGCAGACCGGAAACTAGGGACAGGACAGAGAAGGAGCGCCCTCTGGCTGCAGAGGGCGTGACAGTATACGGCTCCACTGCAGCAGTTGGGGTGAAAGGCCTTGCTTAGATCCTTAACCACAGAGCCACCACACAGCCCCAGGATGTTTGCTTTAGTGTACATTTTTGTTATTGAAAAAGGTTTCTCTTAATTTTTATCACCTTTGTAAGGAAATTACATTACAGGACTAGGGTAACGTGTACCTGACTTTACATGTTCCAATTAAACATATCCCATAGAAGCAGCTTTTGGAATCACCAGACATAAAAATTGAAAAAATATAGATTTGCATTTATTATTGAAGGTACACTAAGTCTCAGTGTTATATCTTTAATAATGAAGGAGGCTGGCTGCCAGACATGTATGTCTGATCAGGCGGATTCTACTCACTTTACGTGTTTCTTATCTGCTGCTTGCGCAAGCTGAACTTGTAACAGAAAAAAGCTCCTTAAGAATGAGCTGGCCATGCAAGGCAAAATCAGATGTTCTATGAACTCTGTTATTAAACAGCCATATCTTGTCTTTAAGAACATTGTGTCATTTAAGCAAACATATTAGTCAAGATAGCAGAAGTCGCTCTGGTTGGTGAGAACTCTCTCCCACCCTACGTTTCCGTTCTGTATAAAAACTGTATATTGTAAGCAAGCCTTTGAGTCTCGCCTTTCAGATCTTTTTAATCTCAAGGTGTACTTCCTGTATGCATACGTAATCAGGGCTTTCTCTTTATCTCTCTTACATGGGTGTCCTTATTGGAGACACAACAATAACAACAATCTTTAACAATCATACACCAGTCCTGGTGTCCTAAAGTAAATGTGGAATCAGCAAAAAAAGTAGTAGTCTTGCAAACAACATTTAGTAGATGATGGGCAAATTATAGTCTTCAGAATAGCTGTTGATGTGAGTGTAAAAGATATACGAAACTGCTGAATGTTCTATCAAGCAATGATGTCTCCAAACGGGATGACCAGAGCTTTTAAGATGACCAGAGATTTTCTAAAACACATAATTTGAAACAGCTTTGGTTTCTATGTAAACATCCAACAGCAAATAGGTAAAGTACATGTTTGAAACAGCAATATCAAATAGTAAAAACTACTCTGTTAAGGGCCACAGACAGGATTACACTAAACTGGGATATGACTGTATTTGAAAGACACGCTTGTGCTGTACATGTGAAGGATCGTGGGAATTCTTTTTGGATTTCAGTCCACAGAGCCTTACAGACCAGTGGCGCCCATGACTATGTAAATAAGTATAAATCATGTAGAACTTCAAGAAATGAATGATTGAATTCTTAAGATCCTAGTAAAGAGGTTCCAAGAAAAGAGAGTTAGACATTAAT